TATATATATATTATATAATCTATAAGGACTCTGTAATTAAATCTATATCGTGTGAAAATGATACGTGATAATGCATAATCGTGACTTATTCGTTTAAATCGACTACTATCGCGCACCGACGTATGCAAGTAATTTACATATATATCATATATCGTAAGTAGTAGATTTCGTATATAAAACACAACTCGAAAGCGGAAAGGACAAGTTGAAGAAGTGACACAAGTGTGGATTCCAAGATCGTCAATAAGTAGAATCGACAAATCATGGTAATGTATAACAGACCTATTGTGTTTCATCACCGAACATGATCGGCCGTATTAATAGCAGCGATCGCGAATTCAATCCTTTTGCACCGTTAGTGTTCCGCTGGTGTTTTTAGCTGTAATTGAATTGAAGGATCGATACTAGTGTAATTTGAATTGCGTGCGTGTGGGAATGAGTAAATCGAGTGAATGAGTGTGAGATATGATAATGACGATTCTTTTTATTTGATGTGACATTTGATATCCTGTTATGTATTCTATTAATCGGAAATTAGCAGAGTAAAAGTACACCGGTTTCGATCCTCGATCTAATATATAAACGTTCTTTCTTATGTTTGATATTATTATTTATATATTGTATTTTTGACTATTTAATATTCAATTATATATCCTCCTTTGTAATTTTAAGCCCGTATTCTGAACGCGCTTATAATGATGTTAGCACGCTAACAAGAGAGGTGAGCATTCTCAGTATCGCTTGTATTCTAAACGCGTTAATAATGGTGTTCTGTTAGGAAAAGTCGATAATCATACGTGTTTATAGCAAAATTCCTATTTAGAAACTATTAATAAGTTGACTTGCTAACACCGTTGTATGTACGTTCCGAATACGGGCCTTAATATTCCAAGTTCGTTCAGTGTTTGAGAAGGCAGGATTCGCTTGTTTCAGGCTTATGATATGTAAGATAACCGTCATATGCGTCGATAAGTCTCGTAAGCCTAAGTAGCGATACTAAATGTCATATATATATATATATATAACTCAACGACTGAAAAGATACCGTGCGTAGCAGTTTAGTTAGCGTTTAAATTAACGGATTGATTACCAAATAAGCTAGTAATGCGGCCGAACAAGCTTGTCCTATAATTAGTAGATTCTATACGCATGTTACTACAGGTTCTTATAGGCGAATTCGTATATAAGTAACCGTTGATTTATTGTTAAATAACTATACTTCTTGTATATATAAGTTTAAATGTATGAATTATCTGTTCATGAAATTATACATTGATCCTTATGCACTGGTTTGAATTAATATGAAAAAATTACGAAGATCCTCCATCGTACTGCTCTTTTGAGATAAAAAGTATTTCATGCACTTGTGTCGTTAAAATATTTACATGTAAGAATGAAAGGAAGAAAAAAGTAAATTACACTACTAAGTCCCACCGAGATTTGAACTCGGATCGCTGGATTCAAAGTCCAGAGTTCTAAAGCATTACACTACGGGGAACCGGTCGTATCGGTCGATCGTATTGAAAAGATTTTTCAATTTAAGTAATTTCAATCGCTTCAGTTGATCATCTTCAGTGAGCATATCACCAATTGGCTGTCGGGAGCCTTACCGAAAGGCTTGCTGTCGTCGGGTCTCTCATACTTATTCACTTGGTATACCAAAATCGGCTCGAAACCGTACACGTCCATAGACAGTTGCTGCGGAGGTTTAAAGAGATTTATTTATAAAAAAAAAAAAAAGAAACAGTTTTAGCATCAACATTGGATATTTACGAAATAGGTATGTGTACGAAATATTATTAATATTACATAGGGTGATCCAGAATTAGTAAGTAAGGGAACTTTCGCTTCTAATTGTCAAATTAGATTGCAATATTCTCTGAGGGATGCTTGTTAGCTCGGTCAATGCATTACCTGTGTGAGCGGATTGGTGTTTATCGTGAAAATGCTGGCGTACTTCTCCCGCCTGGTCAGTTCCAAGCAGTACTCCTCCATCTGCCTCATCACGAGCACGTTCTCCGCGGCGTTCAGCTCGCTGCTGGTCGACATCATCAAGCTGTAAATAATCTGATCTTTACTCTTCGGCAATATATAATCTCTGATCGGTTCCTCCAAGTACGCATGGAAGTCGTGAACAATCGTCAACTTGGAGTTCACTACTATACGGGGCTTGTCCCAGAAGTCGAAGTTGACAGTGACCCCGATCGTTTCGCCGGTCTGCGCCGATTTGACCGCGAAACTCAGACCTTTCTCCACAATAGGCTGCCACAAGGCCGCCAGCATAACTCGTCGGACGCTATGTTATTTTTCTTCGGCTCTAATTAGTCTCGCGCTACAAATCGTCTAAATTGATTAAGAATGTCGCAAAGACAAAATATGTCTTTTATATAATATTGATAACATAGATGACAGTAGACATCAAGCATAGTAGAGATTGACTGGTATGGTTTCGATTAATCCCGGCGAATAGCGCGAGGTGGCACCACGCTGCCTTACATGTTCCTTCATTATTATTACACCATCGATCATACTACTGTATCTTCTAATTTCATTTTACTATATTTTTAATAGAAGCGTTTTTGCAATAGACATTTGATAGAAGCAGCTCGATTACGAACGATCGGTCGGTGGATGACGGAATCATCGCGAGGTGAATTTCCGATCGTTTTCTTCTGCTTTTTTTTTCTTTTTTCAAATGAACGAGGAAATTCGGCGGAAGGATCGACGGGCGAGAGATAATTGGCAGCCGAATCGGCTTAACAATCGGCCTAACGCGGCGGCGCGGCCTTAACGATCTTTCGCTCGGCAAGACAGGCCTTTGATGTGATCGCGCGCGGCAGACACGAGCGGGCGAAATGCCCGGCCGCTCCATAATTCTTTCAAACGGCATGCAGGCGACCCGCGAAACGATCTCTGCACTTCAAAGGCAAATAAGAAAAAGCGCGGAAGGATATATTTGCGTCGCGGCCATTACTCACGCTGGCGTAGGACCAACAATAACATCGGCGGACTTTTAAAAGCCCCAGAAGAGAGACGCTGGACTTCCTCGTCAAATATCCTCGCACTTCTCCCATCCGCGACGAACGAAGAGTGTTTTTATCCGAACGGGTGTTCTATAAATCCTCTGTCGAGTCCTGCGAGTTCGTCCTACTGAGATCTCGCATCGGTGTGCGAGAAGAAGATTCGCTCGCCGTGACGTCAATCAAACGGCAATTCTCGATAATCCCTGGACGACGCTAATTTTAGGCACGGTAGTGGCAATTTTCCGGCGTAAACTTCCCCCAAGTCACACGACTCGCTGTCACGATCGAGTATACGAACGATCCGAGATTTGATCGCGAGAAATCGCCGGATAAATTACACATAAATTACGCGTCTTGGCCGCGCTCCACTCAATATTTACCTATCCACCACGTGTTCGGCGACGCGTTAGAAACACGGCCCGTAGACAGAACGGGACGTAGAGAAGACATTGGCAGGCGACGTCATTCGTTATTCGTCCGCAAAAATCGCGGTCCCGCCGATAAATCTGTAACGTCGTCGGACTGGCTCGAAGGGGCGTCCGCGACGTATGTTAACGTTGACAAATGCTCGTGCCGATTTCGCGAGAGTGTATCCGTAATCGACCGGAAACTGGCGCGAGCTGGCCTAGATTTCGGATGTCGACGAAACTTTCGTGCGAAAAACGCCCCGGTAACAACCGTCGCTTTGACTCTAGGCAGCGGTTTTACCAGGAATCTATGCCGCTTGTTGTTTGAGCAACGACGAGACTCGATTTACAAATTCAACGATGACGAGTCGATGATGAGCAGGAATTCACGGTGGAAGCGGAGCGACTTTGCGCGAAAGAGAGAATAAATATTTCAGATTATTTTTATTATTATTTTTTATTATGCACTGAGAAGACAATTTCTTGGAATTTAATAAATTTTACTGCATCCAAACAAACTAACGTTTCGATTAATAAGTACGAATATTTATTTTTAATGAAAAATTTGTTTAGAATGAAAGATAATTTTTTTTAAAGAAATTATTCGTTTCATTTTACATATTTATTCCGGCCAAATAATATTTTATTTGATCCAAAGATATTATTTCTAATAATAGCGTTCTTTCCGTTAAATAATAGAGTTTTCCTGAATGAGACAATAAAATGTTTACTCAAACAAACAATATTTCGTATATGTTGTTTCTATGAGGTAAAATTTAGTCAAATCAATAGAAATACTGAATCCAAAGAAACCTTTTTCTCTTATATTGTTGTAATTTCAAAGGTTCGGGAAAATCTGTTTTAACTATATCTTAAATTATTATATCTCACATTTATTTTGTTGCGTAGAATTTTGACGCAACATGATTAAACGCATTACTAAGGGCGTACCTGGCGAGAATTATGGTAACCCCTATGCTTTCACTCGCTCAGCACTGTGATACATTCTATGATTAAGGTGTTAAATGAGGCTAATGAATAGACCGGTTGAATTACGCTCGCCATCATTCGTCATGACTGTCACGACGGTATTTTCCTCTCGCGCGTCGGATAATCGGCTCTCGCCGCGGCAAGCTTTGTCGACTTCTCAAGCCGCCGGCGCGCTTAACCCAGATGCGGTGCGGAAAAAATTGTCGTTCAACAAGAAGAATGACGGTGCAACGAGCCGTTTAATCGTGTAGGGAACGCCAGATCGGAATGTTTCGCGGAGCAACGCGAAGAAATAAAACCCCTCTCTCTCTCTCTCTCTCTCACATAAGTATATTTTATGATTTGCGCTACAGTTAACATAACTATATATGAATTTTTGCGTTCTAGCAGCGTCTCATAGACTAACACATGATTATTCTCACAGATTGTAATTCTGTCACTCTCAATTACATATAGTAACCATTTACTTTATCTCTCTGTTTCTATTAGGTACCGGAAAAAGTTCGTGCGGATTTTTAGGTCAAAATTGCAACACTCTGGACTTTTTTAAGAAGTAGTTTTATTTGACGAAATAGTCCACCATTGATTTCGATGGCTCTTTTCCGCGCCTGCACACCTTTTTTGAACGCAAATGTATCATCCTCTAGCGATTCATTACCTTCCTTTAAACCATTCTTGCGCTGTCCTTTCGCTGCATTCGATATTTCCGAGTTTAAACTCATGAAGCAAGAAAGCACGAAACATTTTAACATCCATCCTTAACCTCGCGTAAACAATGGAATGTTGAAACAATCGCACATCATCATGTATTCCAACGACATACGAAGTGTAACTTTCTGTTGATGCCAATTTCCTGTGCCCATCACTGACTGAAATTCAATTAATCGCTAAGAAGGAACTCGCGCGAACTTTTACTTTTGCAATGACCGATGTTAATTGCATTAGACAGCCTACCACTTAAATCTGTACACTGTAAGGGGCTTCGCTCCCAGGGCATAAATATATTCTAATACCTCCTCTCTCTCTCTCTCTTTCTCTCTCTCCCGCTGTTATTATACACCACCGCATTATTCAGCGAGGGCCATTCAAGTGGTAATGCTGAGATCGATTGACCGGGCGATCGGCATAAGTAGAATGCAGCATTCTCCACGTGATCATCCGTCTTCGCGGCACGAGCAGTGCGCCGAGATAACGTAATTCGCGGATTCACTTCACGCGATGAGACATCGAGGGATTTCCGCGACGAACGATCGCTCGGGGAGAAGCTATTCGTGGCGGCTTGATTGTTACAAAACTCGGCAGATTCGGCGGCGAAATTCGAAGTTATCGCACCGTTGATTACGCGACCCAGTTAGGTGTGTAACGAACGACGCTCCGACGTGTCGATAAATAAAATCCGCGCGTTGACGTGGCGCAATGCTATTAAATTCCGCGCGCAACGATAGTTCAAGTATCGTGCGATTCGATATCGATGATTGATTGTTCCATTCGATTTGACTAGATCGAAGCTACATTGGCGACCGTTGGATATCACGTCGATATCTGTGTGAGAAGACGTCATATAGGTATCGATCGATTCTTCAACGACATGCGGACTCGGCGTTAAAGTCACTGTGGTTGAATACAAGGACACCTTCCTTCTCGGAAATGTTTAGGAGGAAAGTTGAGCTTGCGTCCGATAACTCCCTGACGAATCCACCGATATCCTCGCGCCGGTCGAAATTCTCGACCGATAAGAAGCGCCGATAGTGCGTCAATATTGTAAAAGAGACGTCGTGACACTCCATGCAAAGCACGGTGACATTTTCACAGCTAACCGCGCGCACGATTCGACAATATTGGCCCACGCGCTCCGAATGAATCGGACGTGCGTGCGCTTGTGTGTTCGCAAATTGCGTAAATGCAAATCGCCGTGCGAGAAACGCCGGCCGATTTCGGAATAATCTCTCTCTCTCTCGGCGGATAGGAAAGCAATCGGCGCGTTCGCTCACTTCGTCGCTCGGATTTCCGCCTCGGATTCGCGAGGAAGAAAAGATAAACGTGCAGCGGTAAAAAGAGCGCGCATGCCCCGACGAAAGGGAGGCGCGTTCGAGAGTTCGTGGCGGATTGAGTTCCATTCAGTTTACCGGCACTATTTGCACGCCGCGGTTCGACTTTCCTGGAGAGGCGCGCACGCGCGCGCAGACACACACACACTCTCTCTCTCTCTCTCTCTCTCGGTCACGTGGCGGGAAACGCACCGTGGAAATTTCGCCGTCGTCGGCGCGGAAGTCACGGCGGAGCGATCGGCCGGCATGCCGCGACGAACCACCTGTGAAAGGGACGACGACGAACGTTCGACGACGACGGCCGGAGAGGCCGCGTCGTCGCGACCTCGCGACGTGCGCGCGACAACGCGAGTTTCGCGCGCGAGTTCCAGTGAGAATCGAACACGCACCGATCGCGCACCGACGAAATCGCAGTCCAGTGAAAACGTCGCCGAATGAATTGCGATTAAACGTAGCGGGCGATATTTAATTCGGGGCGATCCCACTTTGTTTAAAACAAGAGAGGAGCGGAAATAGATTATCGGGGCATCGCGATTAACGCGGCCGAATCGATCCAACTAACTAACTCGACTGAGAGTTCATTAGGGCTTCCCCGCCTACGAGAAATCGCGTTTCCTCGCGCGGAACAACCCTGCTTGAAGAACCTGCAACACCGATCCGAAGAGAGAGAGAGAGAGAGAGGGGTTGTGCGTGCGAACACGATAAGGTCGAATGACGTGCGACAAATCCCGTTTGGGAATCGATTAAAGGCCGCAACGGCGCGTGCAGGATTTAATGGCTTCGAAGCGGCTGCGGCCGCCGGCGGATTTAATCGCGCGTGGTTTGATCGCCTCGACGATCGTACACTCGCGTGCGTGTTTCCGCACGAACGAAGATGCAGCCCCGGTCTCGTCTCGCGAAAGACCTTCCGCCATTCGCCGAATCGCCGGTAATTTATTGCGAGAAAGTGCACGATTCAGGACGCTACCGATCGTAACTTCTTCTTCTCTAGCGAAGACAGGATCGATTTATTGGCTAATCGTCGGTCCTGCTCGTTAGATTTCTTACTACGACGTTAATTAACTCGCTTTTGTGCGTGAGAATTATACCTTCGAAATTGTTAAAAATACGGCTTTCTTCTTTCCATTAATTGTGCAAGCAACGCCGATTCCGCCGCGCAAAGGTGGAAGATTGAAAGCTGCGAGGCGTTACTGCAGCTGGAAAATTAATCGTGTTAATCGGGCCGAAATGAAACGCGACTTTCGCCGCGGGATTTACGGAAGATAAACATTCGTTCTTGCCGTCTCGCAAATTGATATTCTCGCTCGAGCCACTCGAGCGCAGAAGCTACTTTAAACGACCCCCCAGCTTTAAGTGAAGAAGCCAATCACAGGACGTTTGCAGTGCGGGCGATTCCTCACGAGCTTTCCTCGTCGGGCGCGACACGGGGGGTAATTAATGGTGAACGCGGACGAGAGATATAGACTCGATGATGTCACTTAAAGCCGTCCCTTGCTCAACGAAAGCGGCGGTTAAAGCTTTAATAAAGCCCGTGAAAGCGATGTACGACGGTTGTTCGCGCGGGGCCGACGATAGGTCGTGGATTCCTCATGGATTTTCTCGGACCGCATCTCCGCGCGACGGGGGCCGCACGAACCGAGCAAAGTCCCGGCATTGCCGAAAGTGCTGCCGACGTAAAATTGAAATTCATCCCGAACAGAGGAGAGATCGCTCGTACATGCGAGGCCTGGTAAACACGTAGTTCCGAGGGCCCCGCTTCCACCGGGTGGAAATACGCGATAGCATAAACTCGTACGTGATCCGCACGGAGGAAGAGAGCACACACAGCTGGCCTAAAAAGCCGCAGGAAGCTCTGACCGGCGCGCTCTCTCTCTTGTCTTTCAAGATGTTGACGACCATGTCGACCGTCGCGATCGAATTAAATTCCTCTTATTACACCACGGCGATCGGCAACAGCGCACTCGACGGATTCTCAGGTACTCTTTGCTCCGAGACTACTTTGTCTGCCTGTCGTCGAGAGGAGAAAAATCGCATAATCGCATGATTCCAGTGATCGAGCCGGAGAACGCCACTTCCGCTCTGTACATGCTGCCTGCTTACATCCGAACGACCTCGATGGTGGCGTGCATCATCGTCATGATTCTGGGCATAGTCGGTAACCTGATGGTAATTTTTGATTTTTACTTCACCACGGTCACGGTGAAGTGGGCGCCTTGGAAATTCTTGCCGAGAGAAAGAGAGGGAAAATAGAAACGCCAAATTGTGATCGAAGAATCTGTCATTAAAATCGAGGAATTCCTGCGAGCGCGCTCGCGACATGAATACCTGAAAAAGCACTGTCGCGAGTATTTGATTTTTTTTTTTCGGGCTCAGACTTGCCGATCGTCGCGAAAAGACACAATAAATGAAAGATTGCTCTATTCAGTGTTAGTCTTTTCGGCGCGAATCTTCGGGATATATTTTTTCACATTTTTCCGCATCGACAGTCAGCGAGGCTTCCAAGTAGAATATGGATGGTGCCGATATTTGAAAACAGTTTTATAAAATCTGTCGATTCCCACCGCTGTATTGTTTTGCGCTCGACACGAGCTCTCTCCAAGCGGCAAGTCTTTCGATAAATAATAGTTGTTACAGTTTCCCCGTGATTTCTTCCTTACAAAACCAAATCGGAATTTTCAAAATGATCGGTGCCAACTGCAAATATACGTTTCCCTCCGACTAGAACAGAAATACTCGCAATTTGTCCAGTTTCTGTTGAAAAAATTCATCGCCAACCGAGTTGAAGGTTTAATTCCGTTCGCTGGGAGAAATCGCAAGAAGATACCCGACCGAAAGCAATAGGTCCGATGCAAGTAGATTGAGCCATCTGATCCCGTTATGAGAACTATTCTCAAACAACCACGTAACAACATCAAAATACGAGTGGAAGATCTTCTCGTACGAGGCAAGAGAAATCCTTTTCCGCAGGGTTGGGTGATGACTGGTTATTAAAAATTAAGTTAACAACTTTTAACTTAACTTGGTTGATTTTAAATGAGTTAACTTTTAACTTACGAACTAGTTAATTCAAAGCGCATTAACTTTAGCTTATCAACTCTTCTATATACATTAAAATAATTCGTCAATATTAATATCAGACTGCTTGCGATATAAAGTAAAAAATGACAATATGCCGGCAGAATTCTCTTTCGGCGCTACTGTTCGTTTCGTATGAAATCCTGAGCACAAAACTAGTAGCCCGGTTTATAAAATCCACATAAAATCAATGTTTCAAAAGATTGATTTAACATCTCTCGCTTACTGGGGGGCCTGCTTTGCGCAATTAAATTTTAACTTCAATAAGTTAATTTAATTGAACTTTTAATTTGGTTTAGGTGACTCTTAATTTAAGCAATTTAATTTTATTGGTCATTAATTTAACCTGGTTAAGATCAATTCACCCAACCTTGCTTCTCCAGGAGGAATTTTGAATTCTTATAACGTCATTTCTTTCCACAAATTGCTATCAACAACTGAAACAATCATTCGAGAGCAAGGGGTCCCTCTCTCTCTCTCTCTCTCGCTTTCCAGTCGACGATCACTGATGAGTCCCCGAATGTCCAGGTGCCGTTGGTCGTGCTGCGCGGCAAGGACATGAGGAACAGCACGAACATCTTCCTCGTGAATCTCAGCGTCGCCGACCTCTGCGTGCTCGTGATCTGCACGCCCACCGTGCTGATAGAGGTCAATTCCGGGCCGCAAATCTGGCCGCTCGGCGAGCACATGTGTGAGTACCCAAACGAGCGGGGTGATACGCGCGACGATGATGATCCAGCGCGAACGGCATGACGCACTTCTCGGCGCCCGTCGAGATGGACACGGCGCCGATGACGATCGGGCCTGGCTAAATCCAAAAATACCAGGCGTCACATATTTTCTCAACGGACGCGATACTCCCGCTCACGCGCGGTTCGTTAACCAACACGCGTGTACGCGCCGATATATTATCGAACGTTGGTCGGAATTTCAGTTCGCGAACGTTAATCCACCCTGCTTTTTCTCCCTTTTCCCTCCAAATGGGGTATAATTCTATACGGCGGCGGGATTAAACGAACAAGTGATCCGTTTTTCCGTCATCCGGGGGCATCGAACGTTGCATGCAGCAGCGTTTCATCGCGAAACGAGCACTTCGCGTTTGGAGGAAAAACGTACGCCCATCTCGAACGTTAATATCGTTGGACACCGTCCAACGGACAGTTTAGAGTTAGTTCGCGTTAGTTTGTCTCATAACGGGGACGGGTGGACACGAGCGGCGGTGGCTTTTATCTAGAGTGCACGGCGATGTCGCGCGATGGAGAGAATGGGGATACCCGAATCCTTCGATGGAAAGTCTCCGACCCGTCATTGTCGAACGTACGTCGCGCGAAAAGGAAAAAAATGACGAGGAGAGAAGAAACAAAAAAAATAAAGAAAATTACGAGCACAAATTAAGTCAAAAGCTCACCTCACTTTTCGCCAAGTCTCCCGGAAATCACGAGACAACGAGAATCGATTTTCGACGATAGAGAGAGGAGGGAGCCGCGCAACAGGAATTGTATTGCACACTCCTCGTTCATCGGCGATAATAAACGCGTCTTCGTTAAACGCGATACCGGCGGCAGCTACAGTCGAGAATGAAGTCGGGAAGAAATGAATTTCTCGTTTTATTACACGCGGGAAATTAATTAATCGCCTCGAGACGGGGAGGAGACTGTAGGAAAAGTAATAAATTATTCGCTCGAATCTCGCGGCCGGTGAGTGATTGGAATTCCTCGAGACTTCCTTATACACGCGACCCATCGTCTCCGCGAAGAATCCGCGCGCGCTCGTTCGTACCATATGGCGAGAGCAGAGATTCTTCCGGCTCGCGATTTCTTACGAGCGACCGCCTATATCGACATACTCGCATTCTCCGTGAAGGGAGAGGAACGCAACGGGCGGATGAATCAGGCAGCGAGTGGAGAAAACGCGCCGTGAAGGGTCCTATATGAGATGCGGTTGGAGGGTCGCGAGGGTGGTCCAGATGGGGTGCAAGAGGCGAAGAGGGTGGCGTCTGGGTTTTATGAGGCGCATACGGTTCGCCTTATGTCCTCCCCTTCGCATCGGCATTCCTGCGGGGCTGCTGCCTCTTCCTTTCGTGGTCCACGTAGCGTTTATTGCGACGTAAAACATCTCACGGCGGTATAATCGGAACGGGGTATTACTTAGAAAGTGAAAAGTTTTCTCGCCCAGCGTCCCGCGATAAATCCGTCTGGCCGGCCGGCTGGCGGTTACGTACGCGGAAAGTTCGTCTAATTAAATTCTTCGGCCTGTGGAAGGGCCCGATTCCTGTCAAAATTTCCGCTCGTTTTTCACCCCGCGGACAATGATATCGCCTGCAAAATATCAAAACTGAACTATTCAGGATGTCTAAGTACGTTATATATACTTGTAGTTTAGGTGAAAGTTCTTTGCACGCAAAAGTTATTCCTTCCAAATGTTTCTTTAATTATTATCTTAAAAATTCGCCTGGTTATTTGCAAAACGGAAATTTCTGTTCAGAATGATTCAAAGTATACGGCGGCTGTTGTGTCCAACGACAGGTTCAATATTCTAATATCTGTCGTTAGGCACTACAGCTGTCATATACTTGTAGATTAGGCTGAATAACGAACAAAAAAGTCTTTTTGCAAGTAACCACGCAAGTTTTTGATTAAAGAAGCCTCCGTATCTTGTAAAAACCTTAGCTCCGGTGCAATCGTACGTCTAATAAATAACATTGTCAGTACGCTGTATTATTCGAGAAAAATGTTCTGCGTCTCGGTGGGTCGATGGGAACAAAAGCTTTGACCGAAGGAAACGCTATAATTGTTGATAATCAACGTCGGAACTTTCCCGAGGGAACTTGAAACGATTGCTATTTTTCAATGCTCAAATGCGCAATACGGTTCCTCCTCAACCGTCCAATTACGCGTGTCGCGTTTATCTTTGTTCATCGAGCGACGATTATTAAACGTCGTTCGATGACGTTGAAAATTAAAATAATATTTCGCTCGTTAGAAGGCAGGGCGCCGTTATTACTTCATTAGTGCAACCTCGCTTCATAGACACATCCGGGTTAAATAAACAATATCGCTAACGAGCGGCGCACAAAAGTGCAGGTTGCCGTTATTGCCGATGCATAACGAGAGCTGAAATATCGCCCGGCGATATATTGAAGACGTCCCCAGAATTGAGTCATTAATCGAGACCAGCCCTCGGCACGAATCTTATGAAAGCGGGAGCACCACCAGCGCGCGGTCAAATAGAAACGCTGAGTCCCGCGCGTGAATTATATCGGGCGATCGGCGAATATTACCTTTCCCGTCACCGAACGCCGGAAGAAACATCGATCATCCCGTGTCGCTATCGATAATTATGAACGTTAATTGCACGCGTCGGCCGCGAACAGCAGTTGTGAAAGCCGTTAATGAGTAAATCTTCCTCTCTCGTCGATACATCACGCGCGCGCGATGTCGCGATCCCTCATCTCCTTCATCCCACCCCCCCTCTCTCTCTCTCTCTCTCTCTCACACAGAATTACGGAAATTAACGGCAAAATTTGAGTGGGAATTGATTTAAATTCACAGCGCGTTTAACATTTTTTCTTTCCGCCTTTCTGTTCTACGTGATCCCTCGCGAATCATCGTCTGAAACACCACCAACGAGAGCCACGCTCGTCTCCGCCGTCTTCTCCGGCTTTCGCGGACAGGTTTGGACAGCCGCCAAAGCCCATTATCGCCGCGTCCGCACATAACGCAATTTGCTCGCTCGGGGATTTTCTCTATTTTCCCATCTTTTTTTTCCACCCTCTCTTTTTATTTATTCAACGCCCAACCGGCCGGCGAAATGCAATTTTCATTCGCGCGTTCCTAACCGCGGCGGTAATTGAAACGACTCCTCCGCGAACTGTTACCTCCGCGCGGAAAGTCCGAACGGCGTCGCATTTTTTTACCACTGCCGCGGACAAAGGGAAATTCTCTCGCGGAAACGACCCGTGAAAAGCGTGGTATTTTCGCAATGATTAGTAAGTCCGCGAGGAGGTCGTTCTCTCTTTCTTTCCCGCCTTATCCTGTGAAATTATGTCTCGCGAATGTACATCGTCTTCTCAGAGCGCGCCGTTCATCATTTCGTTTTCTCCCTTCGTTTCTATGCATCATCGTTAAGTTGATCCTTCCTTTTCTGCGGGATAAAGCTCTTCCGGCGGAAAATGTGCATAAATTACGATGCACGCGCGCGTGGACGAGGCCGGTGAAATAATACGCGGGCGAAAATTTAAAACGTCGGCCCGCTCGCATAATATCGAGGTGTTTGAAGAAACGGACGTGCAGAAATCGGCGCGATTAGAGGAGCCGCCTGCGACGCACTAACCCAAATAGATAATGAGCCAAGCGGGCCGTATCTCGCGTACCCGCACCTATGTTAATACAACCCTCTTGGCGATAGATAGCGTGCTGAATTTCATGAAAGTGACGTCCGCTCGTACAAATCCCCGCGCGAAAGAACGGTAAATCCTATACAAATACGCGGCTCGTGTCGAAGGCGGCTCCGCGAGGACTATTTAGCCGTGGATTAGCGATTCGACGATTTCCGGTGACGCGTCGCGACCTCGAATTTCGCCGTGATTAAGCGGTTATGCAAACAATCAGCCTCGGACGGTTTTGTCTGAGAGACACGCCAGGGAGTACATCCTGTCAACTGTCAAAAGCGCCGACGCAGAAAGACCGCTGTGAATACGAGAACGGCGGATTATTGTTCGTAAACCGATTTTCATAAGGAAATTCATGAAGCGACGACGGTATTACATCGTCCCGCGCAAAGAAATGCAAAACTCGCATGGGAAAAGATTTTTTATAGGACACGAAGGAAAGGACAGGATAGTTTGTACGCGAATGGGCCTTTCGAGAAAATTGCGCGCGACGAACATATGGCTTGTCTAAACTTATCTCGCGGAAGCCCGAAAAGATAAATGGAGCATCCATTGTATAAGTTAAGTCCGCGGGTTACCATTCCTGGACGTGACGCTATATTGACGACGATAAATTACTCGGTATTGTCCGCGGGAGACTTCCTCCTCCGGGCTGAAAAGACAGATCGACCGATTCGCGCGATAGAGGAGAGAGAGAGAGCTGATCCAGCCGAAGTGTGTAGTCTGGAGAATTTAAGTAACTAAACGGAAAGAAACTCACGACTCTATTAGTACCGTCGGTACAAACCGGGGATTTTGGTTACGCGGGAGCAAAGAAACGTTTTAACGGCATCATATATTCAATCTCCGCGTGTAAAGATATTGAGGCAGGGTATCAACGAGAAATGAGCTAGTTATTTCATATATCTTACTTTCACATATCCTGGTGTAATGAAACGAACATTTCGTAAGAAAATAATTTTCCTATCATTATATATTTATCATATTTAAGTTAAAAAAAATAATAATTTTTAAGAAAAATATTTTACTATCGTGGCGAAACCATTAATTGCTATTGTTGCGCAAAATTTAATTGGCATAAAGTAAAGCAAATTATTCGTAATCGGAGGGAAAACAATTTTGTCGCCGGGATAGAAAAATTCTGCTGAACTAACTTGGGACATGCGTTAATTTTTGTTGTAAGGACAAAAGTGCTTTTCTACATTCGCTGATTCGTTCTCACAGCAAAACAATTTGTAGATTCAGCAAAATAATCCGGCGCACGGCAATAGGATATTTTTAACAAATCGTTTCGCCATTCA